GTCTTTTGTGCATTTGGTGAGCAGTGGATCAGGCCCAACTGGACGTATTCGTAAGAAAACAAAAACAAAAAAACGAGAGAGCAGAATGAATCTTCTGCTGAAACATGGAACCATACACCGCCATATGCTATGTCTTTTGTGCATTTGGTGAGTAGTGGAGCAKGCCCCACTGGACRTATTCGTAAGAAAACAAAAACAAAAAAACGAGAGAGCCACGGGCATCTTCATCCTAACCCATAACTGCTGACATGCGGACCTGAACGCCAATCTTCAGCATATATTGGTGGTTGGCTGGCGATAGAAAATGTAATTTGCGACTTCTGCGAAGCTTCGCGGGGCAGGTCGTTGTTAGGCGACTACCCCTTCTTGCGAACTGACCCCACTACTGTGTGGGATTCGCAGAAGGCAGCGGGAAGGACAGCTCTCATATCCCGCCTAAAACAAAAGTTGGAATGATCCCTATTTTGTGCCTCGCCATTCGAAACTTTTTGGGGAAGGGCCTGCGCAAATCGAATTTTCCGCAGCCCTTACCCAAAAGAAAAGTTAGGGCCGTGGGCGCGGCCAATTCCTGAACATGCGAAGTTAGTTTAAAATTTTTGCCGAGTTGGGGGCCCTAAGAAATTAGAAAACCACTACTTTTTTTTTTTTTTTTGGACCTAATTTTTCAAGTGCGCTGCGCTTCATGCGCTGTGCGGTGCGCGGCAAGTGCGCTGCGCTTCCTACGCTGTGCGGTGCGCGGCGCGACGTGCGCAAACGGTGCGCAAACCAGCGCACCGACGTGCGCCGCAACTATGATTAATAGTCCTTGCAACACAAAGCATGCCAACCACATGCTTGCTGAAGCTAAGGTGGGCCATCACGATGCAACATTGAGCAAGTTCCTTTGGTTTCCGCAACTAATATTCCCTCTCTATGTGCAGGTGATGACGGGGCCTGATCCAAACTGAGGGTGTTTAGCGATCGCAAGATCTGGTCCGCAATTTTGCTCACCCTGGCGGCGATAGGGAAATAGCTATAGGTGCATGTGAGCGTCTATTCTCCAACGCATACTACTGCGTCCGCTCTCACCTGGCACAGATGGAGAGGGTCCGATGACGAGTGCAGTCAGAGAATTCTCAACCTCGCATGTCGGACGTGGATGGAGAGGGGTGTGGAGGGTGATGGCATCCGGGATGGCCCATGCAGAACAGGCACCTACTCTCCACTACAGCTTCCTGATAACATTTATGAAACATGGCAAGTAACTGAGCCCATGCCAGAGCCAGCAGGAGAGCAGGCTCACGTTCACAGTTATTCAAGCATACCATGTCAAAGCCACAAGAACATATCAGGCAAGCAACGAGGGGAGGAGGGGGTGTGTGGGGGGGGGGGCGAGTGCAAGACAATGGGTCACAGTTTTCACAGTAGAGGCCACTCTTTCATAGTGTTTGAAGCAGAGATGGGGCCGTGTGATTGTGCCAACCGAACTGTGCGTGTCTGCAGACAGAATGGTATGGTGTAGCCTCCTCTGGTGCTGTGAGTGCGTGCAGCACATGGATCTACACTCTCTTGCTCGCACACAGATACCCGCACAGACAGAGAGAGAGAGAGAGAGAGAGAGA